ACGCACTTTATAAAACTGGATAAATTTTTGTTGGTTTAATTGACCTGTGGGACAGTCTTTCTACAAAACTTAGATCCATGGTTTAGAACGACTATCTATGTAGAAGCAATTACTTACAAGAAACTCTCGATACCATTCTTGTACTTGCTGTTCTGAAAAACCCGATACTTTTTCCAACTGTTTAAGCTGTGCATTAGTTAGTTTTGTTGGTACTGATTTATTAATACCCATTTAGAACTACTTAATATATCTAAAATCTCACGTACTGAACTGAGTTTTTGTTTTTGGAAGCATGTTTGTCGCTAAGAAAGGCTAGCTTGTGCTAATGCAACACCGAAAATAGTGAAGAAATAAAGAAATACTAAAAAGAGCAAGTTACATTTGAAATATAAACTTATATGACAGACTCATAAATGGTACCGAAGAGGAATGGTACACCTTAAGACATTTTGTTTATAATGCACAAGAAAAGACAGATAAGTTATAAAATTTGAAGATGCTGTTTCAAAAGACTCTTATAGATTCTGTGACTGGTTTGATTCACAGCGGTGCATGGTAGCACATTGCAGTCGTCAGTGGTACGAGGAAAAAATGACCCTGAAGCAGACTTTAAGGAATAGTAACGTTTTTGAGTTTGTTTATCATGAGTTATTCTAGAGAACCGTCGATTTGTTGACGGAGTAATTAGGTTTCTAGCAGACAAAGCACTTCCCCCATTGTAAAGTTTATGAAAATAAGCAAGACGAAAATATTTTCTTCTAGCGGAGAGCGGTGCTAAATTTAGCCGAGGGAGAAGTTGCGCGGAACGACTGTCATAATCTCTAAGGATTATTCTACAGGCCAACTTTTGTACGTTATCTAACACAGAGAGATGAGAAATGTAAGACGTATCATATAGAATACAGCAGTACTCCAAAGTTGGACGTATGCAGGTTTTATATAGATGAAGACGAAGAGAATTAGAAGAATCGCGGAACACACGGGAAATAGAACCAAGCATTTTTCGACAGCTGGAGGCTACATTGTCGATATGACATTTCCACGATAGATCATGCGTCAGTCTAACGCCATGAAGTTTAAGAAAAGAAGCACGCTGAATTATATGATCTTTAAAGACATTGTTGGACATACATTAGATACAGTAGAAAACAACATCCATTCACATTTTGAAACGTTTAAAGTGACAAAATTCGTTTCACACCAAGCCAGAACTTCATCTATGCATGCTTGTGCCTTGTCCGGATTGGCTAGACAAAGAAGATCGTCTGCAAAGAGCGAGGATAGAGAACAGAAAACTAGACTTTGAGGTAAGTCATTGATAAAGATTAAAAATAGGATGCCAAGAATACTCTCTTGAGGCACTCCAGAAACAACCGAGACTGAAGTAGATTGAGCAGATCCCACTGTTACTATCTGGGTACGCTCACACAGATATGACTTGAACCAGTCAAGTAGAGGACCAGAAACACCGGCCAAAGATAATTTTCTCAGTAGAATTTCATGTGGTACACGGTCGAATGCTTTTTCGAAATCGAAAGAAATGCCAGCTACTTTTTGGCGATTATTTAAACATTTATAGATCGTATCTGTGACGAAAAGTAGCGCATCTTCCGTCGATGCATTTGGACGAAGGCCAAATTGATGAAGAGAAAAGAAGTTCGTCAACGTTAAAAAAGAAAAAAGTTGTTTTTAGACAATTTTTCCGTCTACACGATCTTTCTTTGCAAAGTTACAGAATTTAAAAGCCCTAAATTGTTCATTGTCAGCTCAAAGCTACAGAAGGAAGGAAAAGATTAATTTAGGGCTCTTCTTATAAATTCTACAATTTTGCAAAGAAAGGTCGTGTAGAGCTGGAAGATGTTCCATTTAAATCAGAAATTTGCGCGCTACAATCCTACATTGTTAAGAAAGGTTTGAGTTATTCTTTAGACTTTCTAAAAAGCTAGTTTTCCAGAAGACCGGATCTTCGAAGGGCTATGGGGAACCTCCATGGTCATACGCGGGATCAGCATGGTCGATAATCTATAATCCACTACATTTCGACTCAAAAGCGATTTATCAGTTAGAGACCTTCCCGCTTTAGTAGTTCGTTCTGTATGGAACTGGTACTATGTGCGAACTGGAAGAGAGCTGTATTCACATACTGTGAAAAAAAAGCCTGCGCCTGTGTAGAAAACAAAGAAAAACAAAGGTAGTCAAACTTTGTCATCACGACCAACCTAGGAAAAGGAAAAATTGATAAACTAGCTCAACCTAGGTAAAGCGGTACATTTAGCTAGCTCAAGTTAGCTACTATCTAGCTGAAGCTAGCTAAATGTACCGATTTACCTAGGTTGAGCTAGATTATCGATTTTTTCTTTTGCCTGGGCAATACCGTTTATTTTTGTCTTGTATTGTGAAAATTTTCGGCATATGTAAACAGTTTATTTTTTCTTACGAAGGAACCTTTCCAGATGTCCCTTTCCGATTTCGATGATTTATACATGGCTCGATAGACCTCAGCGAGGTAGTAAATACCCTAAAAGTACTGGTGCCCATGACACTTAATGACCCGGTTTTCTGGAAAGCCAGTTTTTCAAGAACTCTAGAAAATAACCAAAACCTCTTTTTAATGAGACATGAATATAGCCCGCAAATTTCTGATTAAAATGAGACATCCTCCAGCTTTACACGACCTTTCTTTGCAAAATTATAGAATTTATAAGAAAAGTCCTAAACGTTCATTCTCAGCTCAAAGCTACAGAAATTAGAAGAAATTAACGGTAGTACCCCTCCCTCATTTTGGGCTTTTCGTAGAAATGCTGTGAAATGAAAACTAAAACTCACTAAGACTTCATATTTTCAGAACTGATTGGAAACTCAATGAAGCACTTTCGTTTTTGTTTCAAGTTTCTAACTATGAAACTTGTTTCTAACGACATCTCGAAAGATTTCCTTGGTAAAGACAAACATTACAGACGAACAGCGTATAGTTATTGAATCCTCGGGTGAACTTAACTATCTTTTTCTTTTTTGTGTTGTTGAACTGCAGCGCTTTTTCATTTGAATAAACTACTGTAGATATTTAGTAGCAGGAGCAAACAACAGTAGAATATCAAGGGATAAATAAGGTACATCTGAAAACGCGTCCAAAAAAACCATACCAAGATTGGACTAAAATATCAACTTCTGGACACTTTTTTTAAACGTGTATCTCTTCAGAAAATATTGAACCTATAAAAATCTTCGAATGTGTTTGAATAACGAGAAGAAAACATGATAAATCAAAGAAATTGAAGCATGATTCAATGTGCATTTTTACGGATGATTGCACTGCATCGTAAAGTTAAGTATTTTATGTCTTTGTTTGTGATGAGAAAAGCGTTAACATTGCACAATTGGCTTACTTAATATACTTTGTTACACGAGGTTCAATATTATCTCCCATGTGCCTAGCAAAAACAATTTTTTTTTAGCATTTATTATCCCATCAATGAGTATAATGTATACCGACTGAATCAGGTAACTTTACTATCGTAGTGTAATTCTGCTACGAGTTTTTGGCATTTTGTTTCTTCTATAATTTTCGAATGAGAATGCATCTAGCGCTGTACAACGTCTCATATCAAAGAGAAAAGTGCAGCATATTTTGAGACTTTGGCACACTCTACACATTCTTGTGTTTAAGTCACGATCATTCAGCCGTAATCGAGAACTATGGCTTTTGCTTCGAAGAATGCTAATCGTAATCAAGCTTTAAAAGTCATTCTAACCATATGGGAACGCCTGCGTTAGTTTTAATCGTATGAATCACAGGTGAGCCAGAGGCGTAACCGGTATCAAAACTACGATATCGGTACCGGCCACCGGTATACAAACTTCGTACCTGTACCGGCTTGTCTTGATCTTGTTTTGCATAAATACAAACATTTCTCCTTGTTTATAGAAATATGTCATAGATGAACTGAATTTACACGGTATTTACGCCAAATCGTATCATACTGCAAAATACCAGTAATGTTGATCGATTGATTATACTTCATACTAATGCCGGTATACCAGTCGCCGTTAAAATTCATGCCGGTATACCGATCGGTCTTATAATTCATACCGATACCGGACCGGCGCCGGTACCGGTTGCACCTCTGAGGTGAGCCAGTAGAGTGATTGGCAACTAGTTTCTACACAATGTGAATCACTGTTTTTTAAAACCATTACAACAGCCGAACTTATTTTCTATCTACTACGAAAAGTTGCATGTGTTAAAATTAATGATGTCAGCTAGAATAAGCGCTAGAGCTGGTACAAACTTCTTCATTGTTTTTTAACTTATTAAATTTTTTTAAATAACCGAAAAAAATAAAATAATGCATATGTAGAAGAAAACTAAGCATCGATTAGAAACATTCGTTTCGCCCAAGGGTATATTTGTGAACAATTAGTTATTAGTAACTTACTTATGGATGATATAACACCAGATTTAATAGGACAAAGTGCGTTATTTCCTGTAGTGTTCATCAAATCTTACTCGATGAATTTACTTTTCATGATGTTTTCTATTTCGACTTTTGCTCCATTTCTGACATGATTTAGCAATTATATTTAAACTATTGAAATACATCTGAATTTATTTTTCTATAATTACATCTCAAACGTTAACTAGAAAGTTGTTTATTACAGTTCATTTATAACCAAAATTCTATGGCATAATGAGCACACGACTAGTTATATTAGTTATAACTTAAACTTGTCGTATGGTGTATGTGTTATTAACAATATGTTATTCCCCATCTTCGAAGTATTATGTTAAAAACAGTAAAGTGCATTGAATTGGATAGTTATACGCTGTTAGCATTCGACACAACGTACTTTATCCCGAGGGACAGAAATGTAATGAGACGCTGGTGTTTATGATAACATGAAAAGAGTAGAAGGAAAAGCTGAGAGTATACACCTATAAGTTATATCGTCAAAAGACCTATACTGTGTACTAAGTAAAAGATTAATTGAGCATTTTCTTGAAATTCAAAAAAATGAATATGATTTTCTCTGAATTGAAATTAAAAGTAATATGAACTGACAATCACATATCTCAGTTCGAAACAAGATCTAAACAGATGCTTTTTCTCTGTCTTTTTGAAAATTTGACATTCATCAGTTTTTAAGCTGAATAGTGAAAAACTACAAAAATCAACTTACAACGTTAGCGCTTAACAGGACTATCATTTGACCCAAAGGATTCTTATTTATCGTTCAAATAAACTAGCAACGCTGTGGGTCAATCAAAAATAGCTAAGATGATGACTGTTAGACTCTTGTTGGACGTAGAAGTGGTTTGTTGTTGAAAAAAAAGGAACGAAGAGAAAAGTTAAAAAACATTTTTTTTTGTCACGACTAAATCATCAGCCGCTACTGTATTCGCCTAGCGAATAAGATGAGAATGCTCGACAAGCTGAATAAAACTTGAATTATATAACAAAATAAGAGTAATCGATTAACATAGCCAATCGTGGAAATGGTAATTTATTGTTTTTAAATATATTTCTTAATAACTTCTCGAAAATATTTCGAGCCATCACGCAGTATGCGTTTTTGAGTTTTCAAATCAACATGATATAGACCAAATTTCATGTCATAACCCTAGACAAAAGAAATGAAAAAAGAGTGACTATAGTAAGCTGTTTTCTTTTTAGACTAAAACGAGAAAGTACAAAATCTTATATATATTTCTGTTACGATCACTTAGAAAAACCACACCTACCTCTGCCCATTCGAAATTATCTAATAAACTCCAATAATAGTATCCTCTAATATCACAACCATCTTTGATTGCTTTGCTAATGGCGTACAAATACCGTCTTAGATACAAATGGCGACGATCATCTGCTTCATCAGCAATACCATTTTCAGTTATGTAAATCGGAATATTTCCTAATTCATTTCTCACTCTCATACACGCACGATAGATTCCTTCAGGATATATTGGATGTGACATATCAGTCATGAGAATATTTGATTGATGTACAAGTTTGAACGGTTGTTTCAAATTGAATTGAAATTTGACATGAAAATGACTATAATAATTTAAACCAAAAAAATCATTTGAGTTTATGGCTTTTATATTTGAGTATTCTAAACGTTGTGAACCACGCATATTCCATACATATTTGCCAGTTTTGAAAAAATTCAGTATACAACTGTTCATACTATTATCGAGAATACTGGCAAGATAGTGATCTAACGGATTCAACGGATTATAGGGCTCAAATTGAAATATATCTTTAACAATACCAATTTGATGTTTGCTGGATGAGGAAGATATTTTTTTAATATTGTCATAGATTCGGACATGAGCTTCTAATAAATGTTTCATAACGAGCGATGCTTCATCCGGTTTTGATTTATGTCCAGGAGGAAACATACCTTGAAAATAGCCACCACTAACATAGACTTCGGGTTCATTGATGGTACACCATAGATAACATTTCGTCTGATACTCTTGAAACATGTCAAGAGCAAATTTAACGAATATAGCGACATTTGATTCGTTCAAGAATGCACCATTCTGTTCAAACCATAAAGGATGTGTAAAATGATGAAATGTGATCATTGGAACGATATTTTGATTTAACAATTGATCTAATTCATGGTGATAATGTTGTATTACTTTTTCATTGTATTTGCCTTGGTAAGATTCAATTTTATCCCACGCTAAAGAAAATCGATAACTGTTACATCCCAATTCTTTCATTAAACCGATATCTTCTTCGATTCTATTATAGTGATCAACTGAATTTCCACACTTTTGACCACGTTTTATTCGTGGTAATCCGGTTTCTGGATTTGTTTTTGCTTCCCAGTCTGACCAATTGGAATCAACTTTCCCAAGATCACCATAACCTTCGCACTGATAGGAAGCAGAGGATGTACCCCAAAGAAAATAAGCAGGAAAATGCAAATCATTTGTATCTATTTTATGACGTTTATCCTCGGCACCATCATCCCAAATCCAATATTTATTACGAAAAATATAATAAAGATACAGTTTACATGTAAAATAGACTATAATGAGTACAATGATTAGATTAAATAACATTGCACTTTTGTAGAAGAATTTTGGTTAAATCTAAAGTTTGAAAGGAAAAATCGAAGATCATAGTGTGAGATTGGAACTTTATTATAAATAACTATGAACATATTCGGCTTATCCATATAGAAGGAAAAAAGAACGAAAGGCCGTATAAAAGCCGAAGGCGTCTTATCTAACTCAGAAAAGCTTGCTCTACAGTTCTAGATGCTACTCAATCCAGCTGGTTTTTTGTTAAAAAACTACAAGTACAAATGTCAAACTTCTTAAAGAAATTTCACTCTGGTAGCAAAATTACATGGCCGCGACGTATTGTTACACGCTGTTGTACTTCTTTATATGTTACGAGTATTTTTTCTTTCTGTTTCTGTTAGCAGAAATGCTTTGACGTTTATGTGCGCATGCTTTATAAGATAAAGACAATGAAAAAAAAATCTGACCTAAAGCTGCGATATTTTTATTTTTGTCAAAAATTTAATTGAACCATAATTATTCTGAATATATCAACTCAAATTAAATCAAATTTATTTCATGTCCTAGATGTTAAATTGATAATGGTACTGACAAAAGTTAAATAGAAAACGTTAACTAGGTCAACACCATTGCATACAAGATCTTCAGCAACAAAATGACACAAAGCTTATAATAATAGAAAGACAAGGACTTTTAGAATCATTTACGATGTAAGTGCTAAAATTGGAATTGATTTCAGTCCAAAAGATTCCATGCTAGATGAATCATAATCTGGATTAGTCTATGAAGCTAAATATTTACAATGTGGTAAAACTTGTCGTCATCTAAAAACACGTGCTGGTGAACACTTAAAAGTTCAACAGAAAATTATGCCGTCACAAACAAAAACTATTTCAAAACGTGTTGCAAAACGATATAAACAGTCAGAAAAGCTCGTTACACTTAACTCTCAATGTGTTTGCAGAGCAAAGTTCACAAACTAGACTGAAACCCTTTGTTTGGTTAAAATTACTCATTTTTGCTTACTCATTTTACTTGCTGCACATGTTATGAATCCATTTGAATGACTTGATAGTAGGCTTAATTATGAATATACATAAGGTGCTGCTAATTCACAAAACGCAGGAGAATTTTTGTCCCGAATTTTTGACATGACTGGATAGAGCTGATCGAGAAACGTTTTCTAGAGATTCTCTGGACAATCTCTGGAGATCTCGAGAGTAGCTCCATTAAACTCGTCATGTTTTTTTATCTATTTGACGGTATTATAATGCAAATGTAATGTTTGGTTATGAAATTTAATTGTACAGAATAAGTATTTCGGAGAAAATGTAATGTACTGATGTATCATTAACAGTAGATGAAACATTACTTTTATTGTAAATGATAAGACGACAAATATCAGTTCCAATCAATCAGTTTATTTTAACACGAATGTGTCTAGGATGTTACAAAAAAGAGAAAACTTAGATAAATGTAACGCTTATGTTAAGATCTAGAGAAACAAGAAGGAATTGTTACACATAAAGAGAAAAAATAAAACTGTAAACAGAGAATTACAGATTCTAATTACCGTTGTAAAACTACATACTCAAATACAGTCTAAGCCTTCGCCTAAAAGCTCCTATAACAAATTGGAATAAGACAAATCGTGGCAAGAGGTGCCACTTCGTACATGTACGGGGAAGAAAAGAGTGTTTAGTTGCTTCTAAGCTTGTCTTAGGGATAGTCCACTGGCACCAATTATTCAGTCTATCGAGCGTTCTGGTGGTTAAAGGTGTGACCATGTTAAATCTTGGTAGAGCGCTTTTTCCTATCATAATTAAAAAAAAAATTGAGCGCAATAAATTATTTCAGAAAATTAACGTAAGCCAAAAGCAAATCAAGAATCGTATAAAAAGTTAAGAAATAAGGTATAGCATCAGTTCACTAGGATAAAGCTAAAAATTTTAAAAACATTCAGTTGTTATTCTCTGATCCCAAAAATTATTGGACTAGTTTTGATCGTTTTAGAAAAGACTAAGATTATTCTGCCAAAATTATCCATATCAAGTCCACCGCAAGTGATGATCAAGCGAAAGCTGACATGTTCTCTGCGTTTTTTCAGGAATGTTTTTCATCAAACGTAGGCCCCCTACCTCCTCCCTTAAATCAAAATCAATATCAACAAAGATTTTTATCAACTTTTGAATTTTCGGTAGCTGAAGTCATAGTTTTAATAAAAACATTAAAAAAAAAAAAAATCTGTGGGGATAGACGGAGTTTCCGTTCAATTTCTCCAGTTCTGCGCTAATGTACTAGGACCTCAGTTACATTTTGTGTTTAAGAAATCGCTAGAAAATGGGATTTTTCCTAAGTTATGGAAATCGGCTTTGATTAACGCAGTTCACAAAAAAGGATCTTGTTCACTCTGTTTCAATTATCGCCCGATTTCGTTATTATCGAACGTCGGTAAAGTTTTCGAAATGTTAGTCCAACATGCACTTCTACATCACTCGGAGCAATCAAAATTTTTTTCTTGTGTACAATTCGATTTCCGTCCCCAATCTAGCACTGTTGATGCACTCCTCCATGTCATCATTGAGTTGAGTAAGCATCTTGAAAAAAGAAATAAGGTCGTAGGGATGGCGTTTGATTTCTCAAAAGCGTTCGACAAGGTACCCCATCAGTTCCTCTTCACAAAACTGTCCCTAGCAGGTATCGATGGGCCACCCACTCCATCAGTGGTTCAGCTCCTACCTCTGTGAACGGAAACAAATTGTTTCCGCTAATAATAAACGATCCAGTTCAGTACCTGCAGTTTCAGGAGTTCCCCAAGGAAGTATATTAGGTTCCATCCTTTTCCTCGTTTTTATCAATGACCACATCAGCATTTTCCCCCTTTCAACAACTGTTTGTCTCTTTGCTTACGATGTTTTTCTTCTTGTCCCTGTGCACGATTTTACAGATTTGGTAAATGCTCAAAATGACCTGGATGCGATGTCTGACTGGTGTGACAAAATGCTGGTAAAATTAAACATCGAAAAGTTTATGCCCTTTTCAACAACTACGCCGCCTTCTACTCTAGGAAGTTCGCTTTTTTATCAGAACAGGCTCAGGTTAAGGAAAACAATATTAAGCTATTAGGAGTTTTTTTATCGCACAATCTAACATGGAAGTTTCATATTTCTAATGTAGCCAAAAAGTGCAGACAGATGTTAGGCGCGATGCACGGTACATTTAACAGCGCACAATCTTCTCTACGTCTTCACATCTTTGAAACGTGCATAACGCCAGTCATGGACTATTGTTCTGTTGTTTATGATACTACTGCAAAAATGCATTTACATCCACTAGTTTCTGTTCAAAAAGTGGAAGCCAGAATAATCTATAATGACTATGAAACGAGCAGTTCATTACTGATGAACAAATTAAATTTTCTGATTTAACTGTAAGACGAAAATACTTTCGTTTGTTACATTTTCATAAAATTATGTACAGAAATGAGAGATAAGTTTATAAAACTAAAAAATTGAGCTTTTTTAGGTTTTGACGGAAAAACTTCAAGAGTCCATAACTTTTTGAAAAAAGGTAGCGGAGTACTAAGAATGGTCTTATTTTGTAGCCCACACTTTCCTCTCCATTAGGCTATGCTCAGCTCAAAATACGAAAATTTTTACAAAAAGAGGGGGAGGTAAGCTATATGTATGTGCAATGTTAATGCTTTTCTCATCACAAACAAAGACATAAAATACTTAACTTTATGATGCAGTGCAATCATCCGTAAAAATGCACATTGAATCATGCTTCAATTTCTTTGATTTATCATGTTTTCTTCTCGTTATTCAAACACATTCGAAGATTTTTATAGGTTCAATATTTTCTGAAGAGATACACGTTTAAAAAAAGTGTCCAGAAGTTGATATTTTAGTCCAATCATGTTATGATTTTTTGTCGACGGGTTTTGTTAGACGCTTTTCAGATCTGATATAAGCTATTTATTTGAAAACAAAGAATTTTCAGATCTCTCGCTCTTTCTTCGATAAATGCACCTACACACATGAACCCAGCTGATTGAAGCATACTCCGATCGTACAAGATCGTATACGAATCGTACGAAATCATATATGATTATGTACGATTTACATACGAATCCTGGTATCTGATTCGTCATCTAGTTCGCACTATACTGTTTCATGCGAAGTTGTATGATCGTATATGATCTTGTACGATCGTATTATACGATCCAGAGGACAAATCAGATACCACGATTCATATATGATTTTCATACGATTTGGTACGATTTTGTCTGATTCAGATACGATCGTATACGTTTGTTTCACCTAAGAACGTATTTCAGAGTAAATGGGAGGAAAAACTTCTATTTCTCCGAGTATTTTACATACTTCGATATTTTTCCAAGTATCTTTCATCTTTTAACTTTATGCCCAACTATAAAACTGCCTTATTCATTCCTATTAAGAACTTTTACACAGTTGATATTTACGTGAGATTTATTAAATATTTCTAAATGGGTATTAATAAATCAGTACCAACAAAGCTAACTGATGTACAGATTAAAGACTTGGCAAAAGCATCAAGTTTTTCAGAACAGCAAGTACAAGAATGGTATCAAGAGTTTCTTGTAAGTAATTGCTTCTACATAGATAGTCGTTCTAAACCATGGATCTAAGTTTTGTAGAAAGACTGTCCCACAGGTCAATTAAACCAACAAAAATTTATCCAGTTTTATAAAGTGCGT